TCTCGTTCCGCCTTAGGGAGCCATCGTAAATGTAGATAACACGACTATTTGAAATAAGTTGTGTTCGTAAGCCACATGACTCGAGTGAAAGATATCCCCGGATGAAAAAGTAAGCTCATCAAATACTTTGGCATAAAACAGTTTATCGGTACATGTTGTACATGGATTTATCGATTTATGATGTGATTGCTTAGCCCTCTCCATTGCATGCTTTGCTCCGCAATAACATGAGTATGCCACTGATGGCATATATAGTCACAAGATATCTTTCAAAACTAATATTAAATGGAGAGGATTGAGGGTTCTTTTGAAACAAAGCACCGGAAGAAAACTCTCTAGTATCAAACAGAAGATCTGCAGCATCTTATGGCATCTGCTCGATGGCAGATAGGGGAAGACATGTTATTGAATTAATTTATTTGTTAATGATTTTAATGGATAGTTTTGATAGACTTTTCAGATTCCGGCATATGAGAGATTAACTTCTTTTCATTATTTAATCACAATTGTTACGATTGACATCCATTCGCGAAAAGGTCATCCCTAAAAAGAATCTCGTCTTTCATTTCCTTGAAGAGTGGTGTCTGTTCAAACAAAACGTCAGTTACCCCCGCTAATGTTTAATTCTCACGAACTCGCACGTACTCAAAAGGAAGGTCGGCCTTAAAAAAAATTTTGTTATCCAGTTAAGTATAACATCCTTCTAAAAAACCACAAATTTCCCTCGCTTCCTTTTAAGAGAGGATTCGCCGAAACGGTAATCAATTTAAGGGGTCACTCTCGACCATCATTCCCGAAAAACTTAATATAATTAGTGTTGTCTCTGACGATCGCTGAGGCACTTGACTCTCTCGACTTGGAGAGGCATTGATGCATGGAACATGTGCGCACGCAGCTCCATCAAGCCTCTTATAACTCAGTAGAGAGTCGAGTCCAATCAGTTTTGACAAAACCTCACCATCATCCATTTTTTGGCAGCATTTCTGAGTGATACTGCATGCAACACCAAAAGAATTACAATGAGAGGTATTCAACAACAAACGGGTATGTGAAATCTAGCTCTTTGATGAAGAATTTGCATCTTAAAGAGACTCGTCCACAACTGAAGCAGTGATTAGATGCAATGCTTACTTTTTAAAATATGAGATTGTTTGCACATCTATGACATTTATAACTAATTTCTAATCCATGGTATGTGACTCTTAATCTTGCAAACAGGAAAAACTTTCGAAAAGTTCACTCTGTATTATCAAACGTAAGAAACAGAGGTCGAACTGTAAACGTTTTGAATGTCTTTCGATGGTGGATTTGAATAAAGAATAGTCGGATTGTCTGATATAGTAGAACAGTCGAACTTTCGTGCTCGTGGAGGCCTATTCAGTCCTATAATTTTCGTTTTCTGAGCCTATGACAATTCTGTTTTCCAGCTCAATCGTACATTCGTTCTATCGAAAATATCCTTTCAGTTTTAAGTCTGTTTCTACCTTTGGAATGGCTATTCAAGGTCTAGTCAATGTCAAGATGGATAACTATGATCATTTTTTGAAAATGACTTTCCCATATAACAAGTATCATGCGAATATTCATCATCTGATTCGTCGAATTTCGCATGGTCTAAGATTTAAGTCCTTTCCATCTAGCTGGAAAGGACTGCAGTCCTTTGTTCCTTTAAAGTTTACTTGCGTTCATGTTGCTTCTGAAAACATGCTGATGATTACGGTCCTGAAATCGCTGCGTTGCTTTTTGTACGGGAACGCCAAGGCGTAAAGTTTATCTGGTGCAGTAATATTTAAGGATTCTCTGACGGAATTTTGCTAAAGAACAAGGCTTCAGGCGCCTTCTCCTTCTTTCATTCAATATTGCTCTCTGCCGCCTTTTCTTGTCTCTCCAAAGAATTAATGCACTTATTCTGTTCCTCAAGTTCGTCTGGCTCAAATTTTTGACGACGGCTTTTCTCAACAAACTTGAATGTTGATCTGGCTTAAAAGATGAAACAGAAACGTTAAACTGCCACGTTGATAAATGCGGTGATATATCTTGATATCTTTTTGTATGTGAAGTGCATGAATGGTGCTTTCCCTAGGTGCAGGGAAACCGGAGAAATTCAGTTTTTTCATAAATGAACAAAATCTAGTTGTTGCAGATCCCCGGTTTAAGGAAATTGGCGAAGGATTTTCAGCCCTTCAGTTAGGCCAAGCAAGTGTTCCGAATCATTGAAGTTCCCCCGCATTGATCGTTCAGTCAAGTAATTTACAATCAATCGCCCAACGGAGTGAAAATTGACCGCTCCGAAAGAAAACTTATCGCCAAAGTAACGTAAAAAGAGAAATTTATCGTCACCGAATCCTGACCTAAAAGACTGAAAATTTCCCGATTTGATTCTTCGAGTTAACTTTATCCGTATCAGTACTTTCGTAGGAATGACTCTGAATTAAATTCATTCCACGTGGAATCGGTTGGAAGCTTGATTCAGAGATTATGTTAAAGAAAAGAAAACGCACAAGGAGCAACGGCAATCTCCCAATCTTTAAAAACGATGAGTACTCAGTAAGACAAACGCCCCATTTCTCTCTCACATCCTATGAAAGTTGATTCGGTTTCGAAGAAAAAAGATGCGGCGACTTCATTGCCACACATCTCATATTTAGTGGCAACATAAAGGTGAGTGATATAAAAGGCCGATCCACGTACCTTAGGGTTTTGTTTTCTCCTAAAAATGTATAACCACAACAGATAGAAATGCCGGTAACCTTCAAAATTTCGGGATGACAGGCAGAGCTTTCCACGAGATTTCTACGCTCTCCCAGAACTTTTATTTGCAATTAAAAGTTCATTTATGAAATCCGTTCGATCCGTTCCTCCGTTCGCTACCACGCAGCAAAACTATTTGTGACGGTGCTGACCGCTTCTGGATAGGATTGAAGTTTTAAAAGTTGAAGCAGATAGTCGTCTCGGTAAGTTGGTAACTCGTAATTCGTATACTCAGAGCTTGAAGTTGACTCCAGGTTCTTATAAACGAAAGCTGTCTTCGATCACTTCCTTTGCTCGGTTCTACAAAACAAAACACGTGATCAGTTATAATGTGAGGACGTTTTCGCTGGAACACAAAGACAATACGGTGTTTCTTTTGGAAGTATTATTCCTTGTGGCTTTGAACGTTTCTAGGATTTGAAATAACTGTATTTTGTGAATATTTGGAGATCGGAAGCAGAATTGACTTCTGGTCGTTTGCATTTGAAAAAATTTGAGTACAACAAATTTAATGAGCTCACAAAGTAATACCGAGGAGCGAAGAATTTAATAAAATTGTTATTCCATTTGCGCTTGATGAATGTGGGATGGTAAATAGGCACTTTGTGTTAGATGAATAATTGTTAATTATTATACTCTCGCAGTTTCCCTTGCTCTACACACGATTGTCATTGACTGATAATAAACACATGACCCTGCATAAATTTAAATCCCGATCGGAATACATTTATGAAGTATGATCAATGTTTAAGTTTTGCACTTGATCAGAGCATGGCTGCGGTGGCTGGTGTGATTGTGGCGCGATGTTTTTAAGCGTTCTTATCGGGAACTTCCTGTCTATTTTAAAAAATAATGACTCGTAACTTGCTCACGGATTATTCTTGAAAATGTTATAGAGAAGCCTGTGGCTGAAAAAAGTAGCTTTTGTCTACTTCATCAAAAGACGAAATAGAAAACTGGTAGAGCAGAAGGCCTCCAAAAATATGGTTCTTTAAAGGAACATCTTCAGTTTTACTAAGAAAACAAGTTATAGTGTTATAAACGCACAACTTTTGGTCTTTTTACTTTGTACAATTTCCGAATCAAAAGCTCTCGTTGTTCAACTCATTCTGTAAAGTGCGTAGCACTGATCATAAAATATTTAAGCTGGAATGACTTCACACCGCTAAATGACTTCTACTCTTCAGGTTCAGCTTTGCTGCTTTTGGCACTTTTTGTGAATTCTCAGTTTATACCATCAACAAGTGCAGCCCCAATTGATTGCCAGAAGAACACTGCTTTCTGCCTAGAAGAAATCATGGAGGAACTGACCCAACTTCAATTTGAGGTTAAAATTCTCACAGAGAACAGAACATTGGTGAGATGTACGTGTACTTTTTTTTAATTGTACTGGTTATTCCATTTTATCTTTATCATTATACAGTGTAACACGAAAAAGGTAGTCTTATGCATGGCGATTTCCATTTATTTTCAGGTGTCTGTGACAGCAGCAGAATGTTTTACACAAATTAAGGTATAATACTTCTTTGTAAATGATTGAAAACCTCATTTTTACCTTCTCTGTTGCATCCCTCTTCACTAAGGGCAGCTTCCATTCCATCCATTACCTCATTGACCACCTTATCTTTGCTAGCAGCAGCATATTTTAGGATATGCTGCTGCCACATAAGGTATTTTTCCCGCAATTTGGTTGGGATGTTATCATCATTGAATATTCTACACAGCTCAGCTTTTAACTGCATTGAAAGGTAAGGCAGAAAACATAACATGTAAGTCGTCTTACTTGTCAGATGAATCTACTCTAGAGGTATTCATAACCACATGTGTACTGAGAATCCAGAGAGAGAAATGCTGTTCTTAAGGACTGTTCATGCCCTTAATAGGAACACAAATATATTGGTAAGGAACTTGCCTTTCATACACACAAAATCCCTCTTCCCCCCTTAAGTAAAAAAATTAGTACAATTGGGAAGCATATCATTTAAAAGTATTGGACTGCAATCTCTGACAGGTACCCTAGTATCAGCCAAAAGTTGGCCAAAAAACAGACAAACAAACCTGTAACTGGTTTACATTTATGACAGATACAAGCAATTTACAGCAAATACTTACATGGATGAAATATTTCAGAGATGGGTACTCCATCAAGACAGCCTTCACCAATTTAGGGGCAGTTATGATTTCATGGCGGCGGAGGGGGAACGTTTTGTCCATGAAATCCTTATGAGCTCTGTGCTTTCGGGGGTTTCTCCTGACTTCATTGCGATTTTCCTCAGCAAAGGCTTTTAAAGTTGCCAGAGTCTCACCTGCAGGTAAGTCTGGCTGCTGTGCCCAAATACTGAAATCTTTTTTTTGCCTTTTGGCCTTAGAGGGACCAGCTTCAGCAGGATTGGCTGGATGTTTGGGTTTTTGGATTTTTTTCATCCTGTTGAAAATCTTGACCTCCAACTAGCCCTGGAAAAGGGTCAGGACATTGCATAAATTAATGCCAAATTTTTTGCACATTTGTTAGTAAACTTTACTCAACTAATGATATTACTTTCAATGTGTGGAGTTCACATCATCTCAAGTTTTTCAGTTGGCACTGTATTCTGCCCCTTTCCCACTCTGTGCCTCCTATGGTAGATATGTGTTATAATTATTGGTAACAGCCAATCACACTTAAGAACTTAAAAGATCAGAGTGATTACTCTGCATCTTCTAAGTTTAAGCCAAGAAATTCAGCACAAAAATTTCTATTTTTACCATAAGCAGAAGAAGCAAACTGATAGATTTTTAAACTTTACTAACCCATTCAGTGTCTGAGTCAACTAGTTTCTTGCCAGCCATACATGGATACTCTTCAACAATTTTTTTAGCTATCCATTGCCTCTCAGAGAGCTTTGGGTGGCTGGTGAAGTGGTTGATGCTTGTGCAAACATCCCGGACCAATTCACTTTTCTGGTTTGCACTGAGGTATCCCTCCTGGATACCTAACTCTACTGAGGCAGAGAACTGTAAAAAAAGTAAACAAATGAACAAATTTATTTGTCATTGGAGAACAGTAATTTTTGTGACTAAAAAGTTTCCATAAATGTAAACAAACTGTGCATAAAAGAGAAAAAACATAATCATACCTCGATGATATCAATAATGTACTTTCACCAAACTATGTATTTATAGAGAAAGGAAATCATACTCCTAGGCACTTCAGTTTTCATGAATTAACAAGGATTGCTCAAAAAAACTAAATTAAAAAAAACGGAAAAGTTTCTTACTCTCGATGGAAGCTGGAACTTTGATAGCCATCCAGGAGGAAGCTATAGGTAGAAATATTTTTTGAATAAATTAGACTGTCTGATAACATGTTATTAATTAAGTAATTTTTAATTTACCAAATTCACACATTAGGTTTACTTTGTTTTATGCATAGTGGACGTAAATACATATCTAGTATATTTCAATAAAAATTAGCAGATCTCACCGTTTTTGACGGCTGTTTTCCCCGACATTTCTCTTCTTTGACGGACCAACTGGCACCTTGTGTTTTTTCCTTTGGGGTAAAATAGCAAGAAAGGAATTGATAATGTACTCTTCACTATCCAGCTATCTTCACCATCTTACCCCATAAGAACTTACTTTAGCAATGCCCAGTTCTATCGCTTTGTCCATGATACAAAAATCCTTGGGCGATTTTCCCTTTTCATTGGGTGTCGATGTTAGTTCTAAATTTTCATCATCGTTGGTGTTTTGTGAATCGTCAGTCGACGTGTAAAACGAATTGCTCGTAGAACTTGATTCTGCACACTGAAAGAGAAAGAGCAACAAATTCAGCTTAACTGGAGACAAACTAAGATATGGACATAAAAATAACAATTAATTTTTTTAAGGACAAGTTTAAGAATTCGGAGTGAGGAATCCTAAAATCAGAGAGTCTTGAAAGAAGTCAAGTTCATCTTGTGCAAATGCAGTATCCGTTTTGAATTGTAACCGTCTCTATCTCTCGGCGCCAAAATGAGAACACATGACTTTAGTTGTGAAACCGCTGAGAGTCAGGGGAATCACGCATGCGTCAAATTCTCTGGCGGGAATATTAATTATCTTACCGACGAAGAACTCGCACCATCTCTAGGTTCAGCGTTCATCAAGATCAATTTCTTGAATTTTAGTCGCTCTTTTACTAAGGGAAAGTAGTGCCTCAGTTCTTCTACATACTGGACAATGCCGAGGAGATCTTCACCGTCCAAACCGTCCTTTTCTGCAAGATAAGATACGAACAAAGATCAGTGAAGGAGTCAAGTTTGTGTACATAAAATTGCAATAAAATGTGTTGTTAAGCAAATTTCTTTCGCTTACCTATCCTCTCTAAAGTCTCTGGAGAAAATCCATGCGACTGGAGCCAAGAAACAACCTCCTCACCACTGTAGTTCATTATTGAGTCCGACGCACGAGGTCTAGCTAGGTTCGTTCGACTAATGAGATACGAAGAAGGAGCTGCAGAGACGCACCAGCAAAAGAAGGACGAATTTTGGAGGGAAATCGCTTTTATAACAAAGTTTTAATCATTAAAAAGTTCACAGTTTTAAGTTGAGTAAACCAATCGTTAGCTGCGGTTTAGTTCGAGTTAAAGATCTACCAGTTTACCCCTTAACATTCCCGAATCCCTACGTCCTTGTGGCGTTTAAGTTGTGATGGGTATTCCGTGTAACATGTGCAATGCTGTCCTTGACAATTTTGGACTAGTTATCAGCCATTTCAGGCGGGTACATAGAGAAGATCCTAATTTCTTTGTTACATGTGGCATTAATGGATGTGGAAGAACTTACAAGAAATTTTATGGGTACAGAAGTCACGTACACAAAGTGCACAGAGGATTTCTACGAGTTGCACGTGACGTTAAACAACCTCAGGATTTAGTGCAAGATATTGAGCCTGAAGAGCAAGCTGGTGATTTGCTTATTGATGAAGCACTTTTTGAAGAAGACAAAGACGATGTCCAAAATGAACAGTTAAGAAACACGATTGCAGCATATCTTTTGCGAATCAAGGAAACACACAATCTCTCACAAAAAGCTTTGGATGACATTGTACAGAGTACCAGTTCTCTTGTCTCTACTGCTGTTAAGTCAGTATGTATAAATATTGCCGATAAGCTTTTAAATATGGAGGAAGAGGAAAATCATGTGATACAAAACATAACCTGGCAAACTTTATTTGAGGAAAATTCTGAGAAGGCAAGCCCATTTCAAAACCTTGAAACAGAAAATAGACAAAAACGAGCATTTAAAGAAATCTTTGGTCTTGTTGTAAGTATAAGAAATTAAGTATATTGTACAATTTAGGATTTCCTTGTTAATAGTAAGGGAGTAAATCACTATTTTAATGAAAAGAAAAGCACCTTAACATACAGCTGTTAAAGACACCAAATTCTGCTTACAATGTTCAAACATGCCTAAACAATTTATAGTTGTAATACCAGAGACAGAAATGTGCAGTCTTTTCTCTTGTTTTATACCAGCTAGGGCTATGCTTGAACCAGCTAGCTAGGCTAACTTAGATGTTTCTGTACCAGTATGATATTTTGTTGGAATGTAATAAATCAACATGCATTATGTAATGTCCCCTGAACAGGAACCTGTGAAACGTGTGCTTGGAAACTTCCATGGTCATCGACAGAAAGGTCCAAAAAGAAGAAGGGTTCAACTAAATGATGAAGTCATTGAGATCCCTCTTCTTGAAAGTTTAGAGCAGTGGTTGAACAACCCCTCAATTTTGAAACAGGTAAACAGAAATTATGGTGAAGTCAATCTACACTTTGCCATACTTGTTTTATCATAGGGGAACTTAGTTTTATGTGGACCAGTTCTTTAACTTGTGGGAATTTGCCTAGCTGGTAATTTTCCATTACTTTGCCCAGTGGTATTCTTAAATTTTGATAAAGGTGGAATGTTAAATGTGGTGATTTATTTGTAAATTCTTACTAATTGTTTCTGAACAGGTGGAAAACTCACATCAACGACATGATGAGATGATTGCTGATTATTGTGATGGTCAGGTTTACCGCCAGCACCCTCTTTTCTCTAGGGACCCACATGCTTTGCAGATTATATTGTATTATGATGATGTTGAAGTTGTGAATCCACTGGGCAGCAAAACCTCAAAACATAAAGTTGGTAATGAGATATTTTTATTTCACTATACTGTCACAAGTCATGAGACAGTCATGCATGTACCTCAGAGAGTAAGGAAAGGCATTTAGGTGTAGTTGTTTCACAATTAAGATTCAACCAGTTCAGATACTTATTTGAAGTCATAATCAATTAACCTTTGTAAGCATGCTAAATGTTGCATACTATTTTAGGCGTTTTTTTACTATACTCTTGGGAATATTGACCCTAAGCACCGATCCCAGCTAAAGGCAATGCAGCTTCTGGAAATTGCAAAGAGAACTGTGATCAAGAAGTATGGATGCAATGAAATTCTTCAAACATTCACGACAGAGCTCAATCAGTTAGAGCAGGTGAGAGTTAAATAATGACCACAGTGTGCAGTACATTCAATATCTGTTGTAGAGTAGACTGAAAGTATAGAAATGCAACAGACTTTAAAAATGTTGTACTAGTCTTATTTGTATTGTATATATTGGACAGTTCAGGGCTTGACTATCAACATCTTTTTTATTTGATCTATATTTATTTCCTAAGGATGGAGGATACCAGTTTACCATAAATGGGGAAAGAAAGTCTTTGAGAGGAACCATCAGCTTCGTTTCCGGTGATAATTTGGCATCCCAGGAGATTGGAGGCTTTAAAATTGGAAGCTGTTCTGCACTGAAGTGCAGAGTTTGCATGGGAGATGCAAATGATGTGGCTTCAAAGGTAATATAATGAAATAAAAGATGAACTATTTTTCCACTGACAATATAATAAGTTTTGTCAATCTACATGCAGCTGTCTAAATCTCTTCCCATTCACTTTGCACTCTGCTGCCTACTCATAAGTTTTTTTCTAGGCTTTTGCTCATTGTGATAACTTTTGGCTTAACTTTCCCAGCAGCCATGTGAGAACCATTCTATGTAGAACCAAAGATACTCCCCTCTATTAATGATTAAACCACCTGATCCTGTGACTTACCATGAAAAAACTGTGTTGTAAATCGTGTCTTATAGAGTTTGTAATTGAAGAGTGGTGTTGAAATCCAATAACTCTCTCATTATTCCCCACAGTTTGTGGAAGACGATTTCCAATTACGCACCAAAGCAATGTATGATCAGCAGTGCACAGCCATTGAAAATTCAGTCATTGACATTTCTTCACAGTTTGGAATAAATCTGAGATCAGCCCTGAACCAGTCACGATACTTCCATGTCATAGAAGGTCTTCCGGGTGATGCAATGCATGATGTCCTTGAGGGGCTTCTTCAATATGAAGTCAAAGAACTCCTCAAATATGCTATATATGAGCAGCAGTTTTTCACTTTGGAAAATTTAAATTGTTGGATTAAAAATTTTGATTATGATTATCCAGATGTTTCCAACAAACCATGTGTTATATCAAGTGCCACCCTTAATTCCAACACTAATTCTCTCAAACAAAAAGGTAAAACTGCATTATTAGTAGCTTCATTCGTACAACATGCTTTATCCAGAGATACAGTCTTAGCTTTGAAATCATTGCTTGTAACTCTGACACAAGATACATTCGTCATCATTGCATTGTCACCCTAGTGTACACTGTTAGTATTAATTTTGTAAACAAAAGGCTGTCTTTTTGTCCATTGTTATTTTTATGGTAATATTTGAACTGCAAGTTACAGTAATTCAAAATTTTCCAAACATTTGCCATGTGTTTAACATCATGATCCTACCATTCTGGTATATTTTTTAAAAGTAGTGGAATATTTTGGTAAATGATCAATGGCACTGATACATATATATATTTTATTTATTTCACTCATGAAATTGATAAAACTGTGTTTTGGTAGCTCTGCTGATCATAATGTGATTTTAGCTTCACAGATGTGGTGCCTTGGCCGTTTCCTTCCATTGATGATGGGCAGCCATATCCCTCGTGATGATGAGAAGTGGGGTCTCTTCTTAAATCTTTTGGAAATAGTGGACATTGTTTTTGCTGATGCAGTCACACTTGATAAAGCAGCTTACCTAAGGGATTTAATCACAGATCACCATACTAGCTTTACCCAGTTGTACCCAAATTCCTCTGTGATTCCAAAGATGCACTATATTCTTCATTACCCCAGGACAATGGTAAGGTAAGTTGGAAATTAAAAATATTTTAACTTTTCTTTTGATGGGTGATAATTTTGTGACATAAATCTTTGTGTTATAGTTTGTGTTTTCCAGTAGTTATCTATAGTACATGTAAGGTTGATCATTGAAAAAGGAAAAAATGTAAATATGTAGCATTTTGATATTTAAGGCTTGGTCCAATGGTACGGTCCTGGACAATGAGATTTGAGGCAAAGCATGAAAGACTCAAACGGCTGGCCACATCCCTTGGCAATTTCACCAATATTCCTTGGACGCTGGCTCTTCGTCATCAGTTGGGGCAGTGCTATGAAATATCAGGCAGTAAGCATGGTCATCCATCAATTGAAAAGTCTTTGGAAGTAGGCCCAGGTATTTAATTACAACCATTTTATTTTCCGCTGGTCTGAAAGTATGCTGACATTCATATGTG